GCTGCAGTAAAGATAGGCAGGAAAGAAGTAACTATTTATTCTGGCCAGGTAGCTTATATTAAGTGCAGGGTGGGTACCAGTAGATATTAGTGAATCTGACTCACTTGTGCTTTTCGAACCCAATCTAGAAGCTACACCACTGGCACAGCTGAGTGTTGGAGAAGGACTAATGGCGATCCAACAGACAGAGAGACCTTTCGTAAAGGTGCATGTGTCAAACCATTCCAGAAGTGCTGTGACTCTGCCCAGCTGTACTGTTCTGGGCAACATCGAAACCATTGATAGAGTGATAGAGACAGACAACCCAAGCAGCAAGGACAATCAAGCCCAGTCAAATATAGCCAGTTCTTCCACATCACCACACTAACAGCGACAAACCCACTTCTGCACTGTGGCACCCACCTGTGGATGTCAGCCACCTGAGTGATGAGCAACAGATGAAGGTGGAACAGATGTTACACGAGGAATCGGCAGCCTTTGCTAAAGATGATGGGGACATAGGTTGCATTCCCAGCCTGCAAATGTCCATCAACTTAAAGGACAACATCCCAGTTCAGCGCACATACAGTGCAGTGCCCAAGCCCCTTTATAAAAAGAGGTTAAAGAGTACATCCAAAACCTCCTTGTAAAAGGGTGGATAGTTAAGTCCAAATATCCGTACTCAGCTCCTGTAGTCTGCGTCAGGAAAAAGGATGGGTCCCTAAGGTTATGCATCGAATGTTAAACCAGAAAACAGTACCAGACCGTCACCCATTGCCTCGTATCCAGGAACTCATCGACACCCTAAAAGGCCAAAGCTGGTTCAGTATTTTAGACCAAGGCAAGGCCTACCACCAGGGCTACATTGCTGAAGGATCCAGACACATGACGGCGTTCATCACCCCTTGGGGGCTGTATGAGTGGGTGAGGATACCTTTTGGACTCTCCAACGCCCCTGCTGCTTTTCAGCGCAGCATGGAGGAAATGTTGGACTCTCTGCGTGACAACGGCTGTATCCCTTACCTCGATGACATCCTCTGCTACTCTGACTCCTTCACTAGCCATGTTGAGGGAGTACGTCAAGTCCTGAGAGCCTTGCAGTCCCATGGTGTCAAGCTTCGACCAACAAAGTGTGAGCTGTTTCAGAAAGAGGTCAGGTATGTTGGGAGGCTGGTCTCTGCAGAGGGTGTCAGGATTGACCCAAAATACATTGATGCCATCATGTCCCTGAAAGCGAAGAGGCCAAGCACAGTTGGAGAAGTGCGGAAGTTACTGGGTTTCTTAAGCTACTATAGAGCCTATATTCAAAACTTCTCAAGCATTGCAAAACCAGTTTATGATCTGTTAAAAATTCAAAAGGAAACTCTACCGTGACACAGGGGAAACATAAGGTTGGAAAAGGAGCTCAGCTGCCCTCAAGGACCCCTGTCCTGTGGACTGATGATCACCAAAGGATCCTTGAACCGCTTTCACACCCACCGGTGTTGGCCTATCCGGATTTCGAACTGCCATTTGTGCTCCACACTGATGCCTCTCAGCAGGGACTCGGCGCTGTGTTGTATCAACGACAGGATGGAAAATAGAGTCATCGCCTATGGTTCAAGAACTCTGTCTCCCGCTGAGAAGAATTACAACATGCACAGTATACACAGACAATAATCCCCTCACATACATGATGAGTACTGCCAAGCTGAATGCTGTGGGCCACCGATGGGTAGGTGAGCTCGCAGACTTTAGGTTTGATGTCAAATACAGGCCAGGAGACTTCCGGTTGGACGAACATGTGAGGGCTGCGTTGTCTCGTTCTCCCACGACTTTACTTTCTACATTTAATTTAAAACCACCGAAGTTGAGTTAAACCCGTATTGTGTGAACATAATTTGGACTATAAATCAGAACAAGCCGATGTGATGCCGAAACCTGCGTTGGAGACGAAACAGGCAAAAAACACCGAAACTGCTGTCTCAATTGCTAGTGAAGTTGCTGGCGCGGACATAGCTAGCATAATTAGCCTGCTTGAAGAGCACAGAGCTAGCACAGAGGGAGCACAGAGGGAGCACAGAGGGAGCACAGAGCTAGCATTTCAGCTGACTTCAAAGCTGCCTTTGCGGTACTGGAGGCGAAGCTGAACCAAACGCAGACCACAGTAGCAGAACATGGGGAACAAATAGACTCTCTTGAGACCAATGAGTTGCTCAAGGTGTGAGGCGCCGGGCGGGTGTGGGGATACTCACAAGTCCCTGGTTAGGTGCTTCGTTGTTGGAGTTTACCCCAGTGGACGAGAGGGTCGCCTCCCTACGCCTGCGGGTTATGGGGGGGAAAACTCTGACTGTTGTGTGTGCTTATGCACCAAACAGCAGTTCGGAGTATACGGCCTTCTTGGACACCCTGGAAAGAGTCCTGTATGGGGCTCCTGAAGGGGACTCTTTAATCTTGCTGGGAGACTTCAACGCACATGTGGGCAATGATGGAGACACTTGGAGGGGCGTGATTGGGAGGAACGGCCCCCCTGATCTGAACCGGAGTGGTGGTTTGTTACTGGACTTCTGTGCTAGTCATGGATTGGCCATAACAAACACCATGTTCGAACATAAGGATGCTCATAAGTGTACGTGGTACCAGAGCACCCTAGACAGAAGGTCCATGATCGATTTCGTTATCGTATCATCGGACCTGAGGCCGTATGTTTTGGACACTCGGGTAAAGAGAGGGGCGGAGTTGTCAACTTCTCTCTCTGCTGCTGCTGTCCTGGCTGACGAATACGTGTTAACCCATAAATCTGTGTTTTCTCCGGCTGTTGCTGAGAAATCTCGCCGTATGCCAGGTGCACCTGTTGGTCAGCCAGCGAAAGTATTTACGATGAACAAAGAGGAGAGAGAGTGTTACTATTGTCATCAGCCTGGACATGTTATTGCTAACTGCATGATTCTTAAGCGTAAGGAGCAGCCACAAAACATGACCCGGCCGAAAGGCATCGGCTTAATTAACACCGAGTCACTCAGTATTTCCGCATCTGACAATGATGAGGAAATAGATCCCTGTTTTAAGCCCTTTGTGTTTAATGGATTGATATCGTTAACAGGTGAGTCAGACGATCAGAGACCCGTCCGCATTCTACGAGACACTGGAGGCTCACAGTCAGTGATTGTAGCGATACACTAATCTCACGATACGATACACAATATTCAGCTCACAATACGATATATATATCACGATATTCAGCCAACGATACGATTCGATATACTTATATCATTTTCTGAAAGATTTTAAAGGGACAGTGTGATTTTGGTGACATCTTGTGAGTGTTCCATTGACTTGGATTGAATTAATTCAACTGAAAACTGAAAGCATCAATTATACAATATATGGCTCTGACAGAGAGTCTACAGCTTGCAAATGCTGGACAAAATAAATCAAAAGATGTGGTGAGAAAATTAGTTTAATTTATTGAAACAGTGCAAACTGTAGCTTACAAGCCTTTGAAACGTAAGTACATAAAGTGCAGTATCACAATGGAGAATTAAAAGGTGCAGCAGGTGGCGGAACACGGGGGATTTGAATGGGACTTGTTAGAAATTAAAATCAATGTTTTGATGGCATAAAGTACTTTAAACATACCGTCAGTTTAAATGCTGTTTTATACTGAAAAACCAGAAGTTCTTGTGCACAACCAGTTGTTAAGCTTTTATTCTGAAAATCCTTCATCTCCGGTTAGCATTTAGCATGTGGCTAATATACCATTTACTATAGAGGTGAATTTAGTAGCGATATGACACGGAGTGTTGCACACCGAAACCTACTGATTTCAACACTACAACTATAGACGTCGAGATATTATTATTGCTGAATATTAAATGAAGGTAGTTTATTTGAATACGTTTGTTTACAGACGTGGGTAGCATGAGACAACATCCGGAACTACCGGAAATGATACCAGCCGTGAGGTATTTTTGGAGTATTGATTACAGCGTTTTAAAATGTATTAAATGAAAAGTCATGAAAGAGATAAGGAGGAGAAAAGGCGTGTTTAGTTATATATTTAATGTACAATGTCTGACAACAACGAACATTGGAGAAGTGGAGGGCCGGCCCCCAGCAGCGCCAACCGGCCCACAGGGAGGAGCCAGCAGAGGATATTTAACAGCTGGAAAGGTGGAGCTCGCTCTCTTCCGTTCGCTCACGAGAGCCAGAACACAGCTGTTTTTCTGACTGAACCATCTTCTGCTTGTAACATTACCGCGCTTTTTATTAATTAAAGTATACATTTGAACCTTCTCAGAGACTCAATTAGTCTCCTTTTTAAAGCTTCTCTCCTGGACGCGAGAATAACGAACACACTTATCAGACTTAATGTATCGATACCCGTGGCTGAAATATCGATACTTTCTCGGAAAACTAAATATCGATATATATCGCAGGATCGATTAAATTGCACAGCCCTAATCTGCCCTGCCATTTTCTGAACAATCAGCGTGTGGGTATGGATCGATATTATGTGGCATTGAAATGGGTTATGTGCCCCGGCCCGTACACAATGTACATGTACAATCTAAGCTAATTACTGGATTTTTCCCTGTTGCTGTGTGCCCAGCATTACCTATACGGGGTATAGTTTTCCTAATGGGAAATGACATCGCAGGAGGTAAGGTAACTCCTGCACTTGAAATATTGGATTCTCCTCAGTCTGTATTGCCTGAAGTAACACATGCCCACATTTTCCCTATTTGTGCTGTCACTCGCGTGCAGGCGCGTAAGAGTGACTCGGAGGTGTCTTTAAATTATACTATGTTTGATACTATCTTTGAGTTCATCTCATGAAAAATGGGAGCAAAAACAAAAGTGTTGCATTTATATTTTTGTTCAGTGTAGGTATGGCCCTACAATATATTTTTCAAATATAGTATGATAGGTCCACTTTAAAGAACAAAAGAAGGCAACATTGTACTAAACAATACATTTTCTGTGAGATAAAGCAAAGATATTGATATTCCTGATGAGTACAGAACAGAATCATTTCTTACCACTCGATCAGGTTGAGGGTCTTTTTCCTGAGCCTTTTCTAAAACACAAAAAAAATACCTTTAGCTACAGCTCTGGAGTCAGTAACATGATGAGCCATGTATCGTTCAGTCTCATTTAAAAACGTACCTTTCTCTGTGTCCACACTGTCGAGGCGATTTAATGTAGGGGGTGTCTCTGTGATATCACTCGGGCTTTTGGACCCTTGAGCTGCCTCCTCTTCCTGCAGGTCTCCTGTCCCTCGCTGGCTCTTTTCAGAGTCAGGACCACTCCAGGTCTCAGTTTTTGATTCCTCCAGTCCAGGAAAGCAGATTACAACCAAATACCAATGAGCCCTAAACAGACAAAAAAAGCAATGTGATACATAATGTGATGTACCAAAAAAAAACACTATACAATACACCTCTTCATAATAAATGTAACTCACTCCTGATTGACAGGCACAAACAAGAAGTCCTTCTTGAAGATGTCCACATGTCGTGTCCATGTCTTCACCCGTTGGTGCCGCCTCTGCCTTTGACAGCTGGGTGCACACAGAAGCAAAGTTTTAACAAGGTTTTACAACCATACAAATAACTGTAGACACTTGGGTGCTAAGAGTGCTTGGAAATATATGTCTTATGTCCCTACTGTACCAGGTCTTTATACAATTTTCACATTTATTTTGATTTGAGATTTTATAAGTACATTTAAGGAGCATGGCCAGTGTTGAGTAGAGGTAAAACATGGTATTTCTTGATCACCTCCCAACAATATTAAAGGTAGGGTCGGTAAGAATGGAGAAACCAGCGCTAGAATTTGAAAGTACGCAGCCGAAAAAAATCTGCCTCTTCCTTACAGAGCCCCTCCTCCAACACACACGAACGCGCACATGACCAATGAGGGCACGAGATAAGTTTGTGCACAGATGGAAGGCTGACAGGCAGGTAGGCCATCCAGTTATTTTTAGCCGGGCCGGCTCAGATGATTGGTCGTGCTTTTTACAGCGCCACGGCTTCCACAGATGAAATGTTTTTCTGTATTTATTGTCAAAGCATTTCATATATTCATTGCTATCGGGATGTTAAGAGATTATTTGCCGCTTGATCGGCGGTGTGGCCGCCGTCGTTGCCTGCCGTGTGATCTCCCGGTGGGCCAAAACTCCCTTTATGGAAGGTTTGGCAGCGGAGTAGGCCACCAGAGAATACTACAGCTTCTTAGCTGTGGCTCTACAGCTGCTGGCATGTCCCCTGAACACAGTTTTGTGGGGAATGGAAGCCCAGCTGTGTACTGACAGAGTAGAGGGGCAAGACACTGAGACTGGGTTACTCACTCCAGCTTTGCAGCGTCCCTCCTCCATTCAGGGGCAATAGAGAGGCAAATCTATCATCCTGGGAGGAGATAGGTTTCCTTTCAACAGGAAGTCGAAAAGAGGCCCTGTTGCAAGAACGGTGGGTTACGTATTGTAACCCTAGTTTTAGAGTGATGTGTGTGTGTGTGAAAATGCATTTAGTAAAAACTATTGCATTTATCCCAGAGTAAGAGTCATCTCTCTCCACATTTCCCCATAATGTCTGTTTCAGCGAGAGCGGGCTGCGGTGCGTTCATGGACAGAAGAAGCTCCGATTAATCCCTCTTTCTCTCTAAAAGGCCCTGACACACCAAGCAGTCACCAGAGAACTCGCTGACGCCGACTGTTGCGTCGCCGTGTTCTCCTGCGTCTTGACATTGAAAATTGCATTATAGCAAAACGGCCCTTTCTGTGTCAGCCCCCCATGGGTCAAACGTCCTTTTATGGAGGGTTTTAAGGCGGAGTGGGCCACCAGAGAGTGCCACAGCTTCATAGCTGCGGCTCCATAGCTGATTGCACATCCCCTAACACAATGGAAAATCAGTTGTGTATTAACAGAGTGGATGGACAGGACACTGAGACTGGGTTATTCACTCCAGTTTTGCAGCATCCCTCCTCCGTTCAGTGGCATAAGAGAGGCAAATCTGTCTTACCACGAGGAGATAGGTTTCCTCTCGGCATGTGCACTCTCAAGTCAGAGAGAAGGGGCACTATTCCCTGTACTTCCTGGTTCCCAAGAAGACAGGAGAATTCAGGCCCATTCTGGATCTTCGATGCTTGAACCAGCACACTGCATGCCAAAAGTTCCATATGTTAACTATGAAACAGTTACTGGGACTGGTGCAGCCAGGCGATTGGTTCACAACCATCGACCTGAAGGACGCTTACTTTCATGGCGAAATTGCTCCAAAACACAGAAAGTATTTGCGTTTTGCCTTCCAGGGGGTATCCTACGAGTACAACAGACTGCCGTTCGGCTACTCCCTATCACCACGCATGGTCAGCCATGGCGCTGCAACCGCTGCGGGACCATGGCATGAGGGTGTTCTTTTATCTGGACGACCTCATAGTCATGGCCAGGTCCAGGGAATGGGCAATGTTTCACACAGCCCAATTGGTCAATTGGGAGAAGAGCTCCCCCATACCTCACCAGCAGGTAGAATATCTGGGAGTGATGCTCGATGCAGGCAGACTACGTGCCACCCTGACAGAAAGCAGACAGGCATCCCTGCTGCGGGCAATCTGCAGGCTGCGTCAGGGGGCGACGGTGACAGCTTTGATCATCATGCAGACTTTGGGTCTCATGACGGCTGCTCACTCCGTAGTGCCACTCGGACTGCTGCATGCATATCGCATGCAGAAGTGGTTTACCGGCCATCGTTTAGATCTCAATACACAAACGACATCTGGTGACCATACCCTCCTCAGTAGAGAGCAACCTCCAATTCTGGGGGTCCCCAGATAATCTGCGGAGGGGAGCTCCACTGGGGCGAGTGACCTCCTATATCACAGTCTTCACAGACGCTTCAGTGACAGGATGGGGGGGGGACATGCCTAGAGAGAGCTATAGGTGGTTGCTGGCCTCTGACAGGGGCTCGGCACAGCAACCTCCTGGAGCTGCAAGCAGTGATGTTGGTCCTACAGCACTTCAAACCCTTAATACAGGGCAAACATGTGCTAGTGAGCTCATGTCAAGAGGCGGACCCCTGCCAGACGAGTGGAGGCTTCACCCAGAGGTGTTGAAGCAGGTCTGGACTCAGTTCGGAAGGGCAGAGGTGGACCTGTTCGCCAATCGGCGCAACAGCCACTGTGCCCTGTGGTTCTCCCTGGCCCGGTGGGATAATCCGCCCTTGGGGGTCGACGACGCATTTGCACACGAGCATGGCCAAGAAAGCTGCTTTACGCTTTTCCACCACTGCACCTTATCCCCCCCCCGTCCTGGAGAGGGTGAGGCGGGAGCAGCTGTCAGTCATCCTGGTGGCCCCAGATTGCCGCCTGGCGCCGTGGTACACGGGGGTAACACAGATGATGGTGGGCCAGCACTGGGCTATTCCTCAGGTCTGGGGAGCGCTGTCTCAGGAAGCAAGTGCAATAGGGGCGTTACCCACTCTGGACCAACCTCTCCAGGCTTGGCTCCTGAGAGGGACAGGCTGAGACAGGTGGGGCTGTCTGACAACGTTATTCAGACTATCCAAGCAGCAAGAGCAGAATCCACCACAGCCTGTTACAGGCCAAAAGTGGGCGGGATTCTGGCAATGGTGTGAAGGAAGGAGTCTAGAGCCTCTGTCATGCACGCTGGGCTCTATTCTTACCTACTTACAGATACTGGTGGACAGGGGGCTGGCTCATTCCACAATTAAAGTGTATGCAGCAGCCATCTCGTCCTGCCATGAGGGATTTGGAGGCATGTCAGCCTTCAGTCAGCCGCTTATGGCGCGGTTTTTGGGGGGGTCAGGAGGCGGCGCCCAGTAGTGCACGCCTCCGCCCCGCAGTGGGACCTGCCGTTGGTGCTCGAGGCTCTGGTCACAGAACCAGTTGAGCCTCTGCGCAATCAGCCTCATACAGGGCTGGAGGCCTTCCTCACTATTGTCCATGCCCACTCTACATGGAGCGTGTGTGAGAGTGGGGGACGTGGTGCACTTATGTTTTCCCATGCTCCTGAGGGACCTGGGGAACATGGTGCGCGGTAGATCCAATTTTTTCCATGCACACTCTACACGAGGTAAGCGTGTGTGAGTGTGCCTTATCCAAGTTGCGGCCCCGACTTCTGCACGGTTACAACCGGATGGGATGCAGTGGATGTTAGCCAAAAGCCGGTCAGGGACGGTGTGGTGGGTCGATGTTCTCTAAAAAGTAGTCAAAAAAACAGGTATACTTACGGGTAGGGATGTCCCAATCACCTTTTTTTGCTCCCGATCCGATTCCGATCATTTGATTTGACAATCTGCCGATACCGATTTTTCCCGATCCGATCTTTATGCAATGCATTAAGAGAAAAAAAAGGTAACAGATAACGGCTGGTCATCCAACGCGATGAATTCAGCTATCTTGGCTGTTATTTTTTTGGCCTTTTCACTGTTCTGGGGCAGTTTCTCTTTCCTTTTAAAAGTCTCTGAAAGTGTTGGTTGTTTCAGTGCCGTTACCTGAGTGGCCGTTGTGTACTCGTCGTGTTGTTGTTGGTGTTTGTTTATCAGGTAGCGTATTAGATTGGTCGTGTTGAACGTAGCTCTGTTCTATTAGACACTGCACCCACTCTGTTGCCAGATTTGAGAGAAATAAGCAACCAGGTCTATGAAAACAAGCCCAAAGAAAGCAACACATACATGATGTTGTGTAATTTTAAACCAAAACTAAGTCCTCAGGATGACTTTAAGACGTGAACATGGTCATTTTTGTTTTGTAACATTAAATAAAATAATAAAAATATTATATAAAAAAATTAAAATAATAATAATTCCCGATCCCCGATTTTTTTCTCCCGATTCCGATCTTTTGAAAATCACGTAATCGGCTCCGATCCCCGATCACGTGATCGGATCATCTCTACTTACGAGTCGCTGGTAACGGTGCCTCCCTCACTGGCATTGTCCCTGCGTGTGAGCTGCTTGAAGAAGAAGCTGCTGAAGATGTGTGAGCGCTCGGCCACGGCAGCAGAGGCGTTCTGGAGGAGGTATCTGTTTCACATCACAGCAACACAATCTGTTCAAAACTGGATCTCTTCTCTACAAAACGTGTGAGAACCAAATTACATTTTAAGGCATTATTTACTTGAGGTAAAAGTCGATGATAACATCATTAAGGAAGATCCCTGTGTCGAGGCACTGCAGGTCCTCCATGGTGACGGTTATCCCTCCTTTCGACGGTGGGGGAGGAAACTGTATCAACCTGAGCAGAGGTGGAAGAAAGAACAGATGAGCCGTGTACAATGACAGTAGATGACAGGTCATGTATTACAGATATAGCTGTTGACGCAAAGAGCACATTTGAACTGATCATCATGTGAAATGTCCCTTCTGTTGATACCACTAACAACTAACATTTAACAAGAACAGATACTCGTTGTCCCTCAGAATAGGGCTGTGCAATTAATCGTATTTTAATCTCGATTACGAAAACGTAATTGAAATAAAACGATTATTATTATTTAAAATAAATGGATGTTTTCAAAGTAAATGGATAATCGCTCTCTGCTGGAACTGCTACCCCCACGACCCGACCACGGATAAGCGGGAGAAGATGGATGGATGGATAATCGTGATATCAATTATTGACCAAAATAATCGTGATTATGATTTTTGCCATAATCGCACAGCCCTACCTCAAACCACTTCCTTTGTTTGATTATATTACTTATATTTATTTGTATCTTTGTAACTGTTTAATGTGTGTGAATGCAAAGTTAGGATTGTTGTTTTTGTTGTACTTTGTGAAAAGACTAAAGAAATGATATTCTATTTACTCTATTTAAAGCACTTTGAATTGCCTTGTGTTGGAAAGTGCTATATAAATAAACTTGCCTTGCCTTGCCTAACTCTTAGTATGTTCTATCTTAGTTTGACAGCCTGTGCAGGGCAAGGCTCTATGAGAAGCAGCATATATGATAGTGCAGGTCACTTGCCTTCGTGCCAGTCCATGATGTTTAAATTTAGTCCAGCTGGAGTCCGGTTTACAAAGGGACACGTAGTAGGACTTGTTTGTTCTACGATGGCTCAGCGTGTATACAGGAGCGGGCTCCTCCTTTTTCTTCTGTGGGAGGAAGGTCATATCATAGGAGCAGAATTATAATCATATACCTTTGACCAATGGTTATCATCCAGAGCAGTGCTTCTCAAAGTGTGGTCCGCGGACCACCGGTGGTCCGTGAGCGCCCCCTAGTGGTCCGTGAGTATACTGGTAACATTTCACATTTGAAATAAATAAATACATTTAAGTTTTCCGCACTCTCGCGGGAATATCTCCGCAATGGAACGAGCTTAAGTTTCATGATTGCATGATAAAGCCCAGGGCAACACCTTCGTCACACATGTTGCTACTTGTTTATACCATTTTTAGGCGATTTATAATCTGTTCTAGAAAAACGATGTGTTTTGGGATATTTGTGGAGTTAGGTGGTCCACGAGTGTTTTTTTATTGGTTAAGTGGTCCTTGGTATGAAAAAGTTTGAGAAACACTGATCCAGAGGAACACAAATCTGAGGGGTTACAAGATGAATCACAGGAGATGAAAAGAAAAATCTGCTGCCAGTTATTCTGCTTATTTTCTTAGAATTCTCTCACACTTTTGAGGTAGATGCTGCTTTGTTTTACCTCAGGCTGTTGTTCAGGCGGTTGTTCAGGCTGCTGTTCAGGCTGCTGTTCAGGCTGTTGTTCAGGCTGTTGTTCGAGCTCTTGTTCTTTGCGACCCTCCTCTGGTTTGAGTTCTGTGTCTGGATCTGTTTCCAGCTTCAGTTCTGTCTCTTCCTGTAAATCAACCTCCAGCTCGATGTGTGGTGGGGTGCTTAAGTCTATATCAGAATGCAGATCATCATCGTCTGTGTCTAATCGAGGGTAAGAGCAGTCCAGGCCCAGCAGAGACAGCAGGGGAGAGTCCAGTCCAGTTCTTCTGATCAGCTCTAGGCTATCATCCAGAGAAAGAACAGGAGTGTTGAAGTCGTCCAAACAACTAAGTTTGTTGCCACTATCAATGGTTCCTTGAGCCAAACTGTTGAGACAGTCAATGTCCAGGAGGGAGCGCAATAAAGCCCCCTCCATTCCCACCACAGGATATCTCAGGGTCAGCAGGACAAACGGGCTCGCCTTGCCTATGAAAAAAATAAAATATAAATGTACAACCAAGGTCATCGTGCACCATGCAGATTATCATGTGACATAACAAACGTTACTTAAAATGACATAAGAAGTATGAACAGAAAAACTGACATTTGTAAATTGAAACCAGGACAATTTTAAGGACACAAAGTTGCCAACAGTAGAAATCTAAAGTGTATCTTTTTAAAAACAACACTTGTGCAACGCCTAACTCAAAGCTCTCTATTGGTCTCACCAGTGCTCGTCGCTCCATGTTGTTTCACACACAGCTTTTGTAGTTCTCGCTGTAAAGCAGCTGCAGCAGTTTCTGACACACATAACAGAAGAATGGCGGCAGGGAAAGGCTCCTCGACGTTCTCAAAGTGAAAATCCCGCTCCACCAGTTCCTGCTGCTCCCACACGCTGTACCTCCTCATGTCTTTACGGTCCAGAGATAGCCTCACCTCCACCTCTCCAGTATCATCATCTGGGGAGGATGAAAAGGTCAGGTGAACCTTGAGATCGCATTGTTGATATCAAATGATGAACATTGTTACTTCTTCCATAACCAAAGAAAGTCAACCGAGGTCCTGCACAGTTCAGATTTTCTTTGTAGATGTTGCAGTGCTCCAACTTAATTGAAATCCATCAAATAGTTTAAGAGATATTTCAGTTTGTGTAATAGATTGTTTTAATAGAAGAAAGTAAATGTATGTTTTCTTGTGATAAAATATGTAATGTGGTTAAAAAGATCATATATTACATTAGACACACAAAGATTGTATGGTATATAAATACTAAACTGTGAAGATAACTAATATTTACGTTTTGACATGTTCAATATAACATGTTGATCTTTGATCCACTTAAATGTCTGATCTAGAATCCTGAGATACATTGCTTTTGTTTGTCTCCACCAACACATTTGGGGTTGGCGGGTAATTCCCTCACTTGAGTAAATGTACGTGATGAAACACTCGTGATAATTTCTCCCCATCTGAAAGGAAAGGGGCGTAACGTTTGCAACAAAGAGGTAGAAAGACTGTGACTAAATGACCAACTGTACCGTCCTACAACATTTTACAAATATAGGTATCCCTCATTTACAAGATATCTAATCTCAGAATAATTATTTGAAATGTTTCACATCTGTCAATTTCTCATTTCTAAAGGTATCCTTTCAATTTGATTTGTGATCTTTTTTGGGTTAGGGTTAGGTGTTTTTCTTTTGATTTGTTTTTCCTTTAATATTGTTATAGCATCAGATTTTTATTAAACAATGGATTGCACAGCTTGACTGACTGCACTTTGAAATACCATGAAGGCTCGGGTCAAGGTTAATGTAACCAGCGACCTCTTTAGTCATTTGTTTTTCAGCCACAGAGGTTTACCTGCAATAAAATGTGTATCTACCCAAGAATACCGTTTTACAATGCAACTTATTTTTTTAACCAGACATATTTCTTTCACACAAACACGGTCTCAAAAGCTGAGAGTGCTCTAGGGCCTTGAGGGTCTAATCCAGTAACACACACATACTTTACGATCTGAAATAGACCAGTAAGCTGGGAGTGGATGTGTGTAGACAGCATGACCAAAACAAGTTCAGACCAAAGGGCTCAGGTAGGCCAATGCCTCTCAACAACACTGAGTTTATTCAAGCGTAATTAACACCAAAGGTAAAAACTCCTCTTATCATTACCTTCCAGTGGGATGATGATTTCTTGGTCTGCTATCTGTGAAAGAAAGAGTAAACAATGTGTTATACTCCTTCCCCTGAAATGTGATTTTAAAAAAAATCTGTGTTCAGCATCGGCAAATTAATATATTTATGGTTTATACCATGATTTCTCCATTTGCTCTCCCTCGATAACCACCACAGTGCAGCGTGGAGAAGGAGAAGTCTATACTGGGGTTTGGAGAAATTGTCACTGACACAGGCTCCTCTATAAGCACCTGCAACACAGAAACATACACACACTGTTGGGAAAGTCAGTTCAAACACATTGGTTATACACATTAACAGTCAAATATGTATAGAACTATTAAGACACAATATTTTTCCAGTTACAATATTTCTAACTATGTGTGGGATTTAAATCTTCCTTCTGTTGTCGCCACCTAGTGCTAGTAAGAAGAATGACACACTGACAGCTATGCATGCTGCTACTTTGAAACATTTCTCTCATAATATCTTGTTAGCATAAGATGCAATATGAATATTAATCGCTTGAGCTTTTGTGATTTAAGGCCAATATCCCCGGGCCCATAGAGCAACATGCTTTTTTCATATAGTGCTACATTTTTTTATGTTTAAACCAGGGCTAAAACTTTGCTAAAAACAAATAATGAGTTGAGAAAAAAATCTGAATGTTCCTTTTACTATATTCCAAGATTCATATATGCTTTGCTCTTATCAAATAAGAGACTAGATTGCGTTCCGACAAAGCATTATGGATCTTGTTATGAAATGTGTTCATTACAGAGATATGGATCAGTCGTAATACAGGGAGAAGTCCTGCTAACCTGCACGTCCTCTAGGTCAGAAGCTTCTTGCTCTTTGTCCTCAGCTTTCTGTGGGGATTGTATCTCTACTACTGCATCTTCCACAGTGACCGGTGTTTGGACCGCTAGGCTGCAGGGAGCAGCGTCAGCGCCCTCCTCCTCCTCCTCCTCCTCCTCCTCATCATCATCATCACTGGACAGAACAACTGAAATAAAAGCACATGGAAAACGCATCAGGCCCAGAGTGAATTTAAGCTAGCTAGCCAAGTTACTTTTTTCAAAAACAAGCACATCATGTCCTATATTGCATAAAGGAGTTGTAATGGGCTTTAAAAAAAGAGCAGGGATAGACGTTGTCCTAGATATGTAATATATGTAAAGCGTCTTTGAGCTTTAGGAAAAGCGCTATAAAAATCCCATGTATTATTACTATTATTATTATTATTATATGACACACAAGTAGGTTGTAAAGATAGAAGTAATAATCATTATAATGTTCTTTATTTATAGAACAATTTAGCTTTTTTTTGTTAAATAAATCAAATAAAAAGCAGTCAACAAGATGTTTAAGAGATTAGATTTTGTTTAGAAATATTTAGTATTCATATATACTATATGGCCCAGAAAAAGAAAGGAATACAAAAACAGTTCTAAAAAAGAAATACAAGACAGTTAATATAAAAAAGGGGGACTTTTATCAAAGTCAATAAAATAAATATCTTATTGAAAACATCTTTATCTGAGTTTTAAACAAATTCTCTTAAATGTTGTTAATGATATCGCCCACATGAATCCAGTACTGAGGCTCGACTGATAATGGAATCTAACTCACATTATTTGGGCTTGGTTTTGGTCTGGGAATAGTGTGGGTGAGTCCTGCTGCATTAGCTGAAAGACTATGTGATAATGTAGAAGAGCATCTAATTCTGTCTGTTCTTCATAGAGCCAGCTTCACTAACAGTCTACAGAAGCTAAGTGCTCAGCTTCACGATCAGATCATCTATTTACATATTGATATAAAACAACATGGCATTGAGCTGAGCTGCCTGAGTCACCGTTTTCCTCTTGGATCATTTCAAAGTAAAGTTTAGCAGTAGAATTAAGATACCAGTTTTTGAGGTGATCTTATCCTTTGTTGGGGTACTCACTGGGTTCGAAGGGGATGGATGTGGTCTTGTTGTCCTGGCAGGAGGAAAGACTTTGTCTGGGGGTAGCAACAGAGTCTCCGGCTTCTAAATGAGGACCGGGGGTCGGATCATCTCCTCCCACCGTGAACTGTAAAATAGTACGGTCTAGGCTTTCCGGATCTCCGTCTTCTTCGGGTTCCGTTTGACGAACACGCGTTGGGGACAGTCCTCTATCCTTCCCTTCTTCTCCGTTGAGCAGAAGCACACTCTCACAGTGGCGTTTGGGGCTGCCGGTTCCATTGCACGGCGATGCTGGATCCTTTCTTTTCCTCTTCTGTTGAGACAGCACAGAATGCAGAAACTCAACAAACAACTGGAGCCATGTTCAAGCGCAAGACACACAAATGTCTTAAGAGATATAACCCTAGAGGTGTCACAATAGCCCTTTTTACATGTTCTACACAAAATGGTGCTATTGGAGAAGTGATCCCTTTAGTGTTTTAAAACATAGCTGTCTTTTCTTAAAATATATGTGATGCATTGAACATGACAAAACATTATAGATACAGCCTCAATGCTATCATTGCTCGATGTTATCAACGAAAAGAGCCACAGAGGATTCTGATGTTAATTAGGGTCTTATATGCTCACAAGCTGCATTCAATTCTTTTGAATAGGTATTCATAATTCCATTTAATTGACATTGATGGAAATGTCTGAGGGTTTTTGTTGGAGTGTTATGGAAACAACATCCTGACTTTTAAGTAAAAGTTACATAAAGGCTTATTCAAAACATGATGCCATTTAAAAACACACTTACAAAATAGTCTGCGTTCCTGTTCTGTTGCTTTATGCCTTTTATAAGAAAGTTTGGATAAAGTTTACGCTTCTGTGAGACTCTCTGTACGGCACTCACCACACTGTTTTGCACTTCTTTTTCTGGATCAGACAACCTGCCCTTGATGAACTCATCACAACTTCCGGTATCATCTACAGGCTCCCATCTCACTAACACCCCACAACCTGTATCAGACGGAAAGATAAGCAAACAATCAGGCTGGAAAAACACATACAGTTCGGTCAAACAGAAAATTACTACTACTACTACTATTAAAAAGTAGAAAAAAGTATATCCTTGTAAGGGAAATGCTGGGTAAATTCAGCTTTGTTTCAGTCAGTAAAACACTAGCATTAACCCTGAAAAGGACATTTGACAGAAGTTCCGGTGGAAAGCAGGAAAATCTAAATCTGTCTTAGTCTTAAAATAAGAGATAGTCAAAAAGTCAAAAGGACGCAAAACAGCAGCACAATAGAAACTGTGATTCTGAATGCATTCATGTTACACACCTACAACTTCAGCGTATTTGAAGTCGTCTCCGTCGTCTTTTCCTATTATAACCTGCTTGCCATCTTTGTTTTGTTCTCTGTCCTCTTTGTCATCAACATTTTGTGACCTTCTGCAGAGTCTTGACCTGAAGACACAAAATAATGAACACAACGTTCATTTTTTAGCACAAGCAACATGCTGCAGTGTTACACTTTATATACTAAGAATACCTAAACACTAAACCTCTAAGACTAAACAGACAAAACGAACGCATAAACACATTTCTGTGTGCTATTATTCCAAATAAAATCAGCATGTTTTCTGCCTAAATACAGAGCCAACTCTTAAAAGGTCATTTCTCATTACAACGTAATACATAAAACCTCCTACTGGTTTTGTGGCTAATTTGGTCGGTTATTCACAGGTCTGTGCATGTGAACCATCACATTATCCTGTATTTAGAATTGTATTTTTCATCAGTACAACGTCATACATAAGCAGAGACATTTTCTTTTCTGCAAGTGAGACCCATTGTCTTATTATTTAGAGGTAGGCCCTTAATGGTGAGTAAAACTATCTTTGTGTCCATCTATGTGATCATTATTATTATTATTGCAAAGATGCTGCGAGTTGCCTCGGAAGTAAGCTTTGCCGTGAAGAAGCAAAAGATGGAACTGGAAGCCATTTGTCTCCCTGGAAAGACTTAATGCCATATTTATATTTAACCAAAAGGAGGATTGTTAAATGTCCTAAGAACCACTCAATTTCCACAAACAAACTATATAATATGAATAAGTCAGCTTTAAAAGTAGCTGGTAGATAATTGTTTTTACATTTTTCTAGTCTTTATGCTAAGCTAAGGTTAGCAGACTCATGCTATAGCTTTATATTTATGGTAAATAAATGACAGTGGAATCAATTCTCAAACCCTCAAAAGCACATTTCCTACATTTCTATTTCTCCATTTAACAGTTGATTCCTACCTTTGAGAAAGTGGGGTCGTTGTCTTTTGGTTGCTTTTGGGGGTTTGACTTCTGTTTTTAACAGCCTCCTTCTGACTGGACCTCCTGTCTCTGCAGATCAGAGGCTCCCCTCTGCTTCGCCCACTCTCCAACGGTGTACTTGACCCTCGTCTGCATTTCCTTGAAGTTGGACTCTCTGTTATTCTTTCCATATAGGCCTTACCCTGTTCTGTCTGTAGGACATCGGTCAGGATCAGACAGGGCTTCCTCCTACAGGATGAAACACAGAAGCAGTTATTCACAACCTTTCTAGAGCAACATTCTGTCTGCAACATTTTAATGTGTCCTGGCCAGCTGTGTCCATACCAGCTGATCAAGAGGGAGGGGTTTAGATCAGCCATGTGTGCAGTCAGGATAAGCTTGGCCTTGAGACATGGTGCATATAAGCAATCTTTATTTTTAAGTAGGAGCCAATTTGAGCAATGTGCAACACTGCTACTGGACACACAAACAATAGACAGCTGGCAATCTTTCAAATTCAGCATTGTAGACTAAACTTGGGAAGACGATGAACATACAAACAGTCTCGGTAGTGTGATAATGATGGTATTCATCACAAAAGTCACAAAGACCATAACTGCTTAAAGACATGTTTTTATGTCATGGTTTTAAAGTTTTTAAAAATTGAAAAAGGAAGAGGCCTACAAATACAGTACCCTCTCCCCAATTAAGATGATGCCAATCAAAAAAATATATAGTTCAAGCAAAGCAGAAAGCAAGCTTGGAACAATAACGTATCAAACAGTTAAGCTTAGCGTAGACAACACTACACATTTATAGTTTTAACTGATAGCAGAACAATAATCAGGTGTTTCTGTCTGCAAACAGCAGTAAAAAAAATCCATTTGTTCTTCTCACCTTGCCATTTCCAGTGTGACTATAGCAGCGTGCTTGTGATCAAGCAGCGTGGATCCATTTGTATGCTGTGAATCACAATGTCTGAGTTTGCAACCTGCAAATGCAGTCCAGGAAACCTGTGTGAAGGGAAGGTAACAGAGCCAGTCCCATGAAAATAACCAGAAAAATCTCACCACCACCATAACATTTGTCTATGTGGTCACACAGAGAAGGATCGCTGTACCTGTCTTTCTAACTTCCCACACTTTGGTGAGAGACATGGCATGGAGATTTTGAGTGGGTTTCCCACCTAAAATTAACAGGGTGGTTAGTTACTGTGTTTGTATAAATTAAAAAACAAAAAGTGCAAATAAGCAAAGCATTTAAGTAGGAATTGCATTATGTGTCTATGTCTTTAAGCATGTGCACTGGAATAAAGCAGCAATCATAACTCAGGAAATTGATAAATGGCTTGTAAGAGAATACACCAGCATTTCCCTAGTTCCAGCTCATCCATTTGAATTATTTGCTGATTATCTCTGCCTTGTGTTGATATATTGATTATTTTCGTGGCTTTGTCAGACAAAATAAGCAATTTGAAAACATCAACTTGGGTTTCACAGAGCTTTAAAATACATTACTTTAACATATCACATTTTATAGATCGTATAATTAACTTAAAAACACACAAACAATGAACACAGCAGCAGTTTACTATGGTAACTGTAGCATTGGCAAGTGTGCAGAAATAGCTATCTACAGCTTATCATGCTTCCACTGTAATGTGCGATCCATTTATTTGTAACAAAAGGGAAGTAAGCTCACAGATCAACATCATTTTACAGTATACCATTAGCAATCACAAAAGCAGGTCAGCGCCATTAAACAATACATCGCAATGAGCTTATGCTTTACATGTGAACAACAAATCTATTATGGCAGCCATAAAGCAAGCTTCCCAACAGCATTTCTCCAGTTAAGCAATTCATGCTGCGCACATGCATGTGAGGAAAACATGGGTCACACATACCAAGTTATTGTCAACATTAAATGGAATAGTTAAGGCTCTTCTTCGATCCATCATGGTTTACAATTTTGAGACACAGCAAGAACACTGAAAAACAAACAAAGAAAAATTATTAAGTGTCTCAATTAAAGCGTACATAATTGTAACATGTATTTTAAAAAACGAGTTTCATTCACTAAGCAATAACCAATGTGTTTTAAAAGTAAAAAGGTCGTAACGTCATTTCAACAAACAAGGTTTCACATTTTGAGTTTGTTCGAATCGACACTTTACAAAATGTTAACACAATGTTTATAACCATACCAAAGAAAAATGTGTCAGAAGCTGGCTGTGATGTTTGATTTATTATTTGGATTAGCAAGCAACAGTAACACTATTTCACAAGATATGTTATTCAATCAGACCATGTGTGTCCCCTGTACATAAGCAATGCAAACAGATACAAATATTTAAACAAAAACGAGGACAACATTACCCACTTATACTAATTTAATGAAACATTAAGCCTTTTAACTATGTTATTTACAAAATGTATGTAGCACAGATAGCACCCAAGTCACGTTAACGCTTCCTATTGATAACAGAAAACCCGTATTGCAGATATGTCAATGCCCACCCCAAAAATTACCACATGTCTAAGTTTAAAATGGATTAAAGTTACATTTCTCACAACCGAAAGTGAAAACAATCGACAACTAGCGTTAGCCGGCAGTGCTAACGTTAGCTTGGTGAATGCTACCGCTACCATGTCTATTATGCTAGCTAGCAGAGATACAGCTTACCGTAGACACGTGATTCTCTTCAGACCAACAGGTAATATAAGGAGACTGTAGGCCAACTATTTCCACATGAGCATTTCCACCAGCATTTTACAAAACACAGCAGAGTGACATTTTGTTGGGCTCAGTGCTGCTATTTGCGCTCCTATTCTCCTTAGCAACATCCGGTAGGCACCAGAAGTGCAACAGGAATAAAAGCGAGGTGCACAAAGGGCTGACATTTGTTCCCGGGAAGGATGGGTGAGCAAAGTAACTAAGCACGTTCAATTCAAGTACTGCATTTTTACAGTACAATTGTGAGATATGCAATTCAGATATTTTTAAATATAAGAAAGCTTTGGGCTACCACCACAGTGTATCACGTTTAAAGGTAGGGTAGGTCATTCACTTCAGAAACACTTTTTGTTATATTCCATGGAATGCTCTTGATTGATTGATTGATTGAAAAGTTTATTAACAGCTTGTATATTGGGTACAGTACAGTACAGCTCAAAACATACAATTGTTAAGGGGATGCAGACCAGAGAAAGACTTTCGTCTTGTTTACATCAGGGTCCCCCATTTCCAATTCATCATGTCATTTAAGACATATAAGACATATTTGACATACAGATGGCTTATTTACAATTTACATACAGGTGGTTTTTTACATACAGATGGCTTATTTACAATTTTCATTTTAGATTTCGTTCTAATACATCCTAACCGGACATTTAAGACATACCAAGTCTACAGATATACAGTTAGTAACAGAGTCTAAAATGCGAGTATATACATAGATGGGGGGGGGGGGGGAAGCTGTCCATCTTAACATCCCGATAGCAATGAATATATTAAATGCGTTGACAATAAATACAAATATTTCATCTGTGGAAGCCGTGGCGCTGTAAAATGAAAGTCCTATTAGGCTTGTTTGAGACAAGCGAGACCTGCGCAGTTGCGATCAACGTCTTGCTAGTGCAGGGGTCGGCAACCCGCGGCCCTTTAAGCCCTCTGCTCTGGCTCCCTTGAGTTTAGACAAAAATAAGAAGGAAATAAAATAAAAGCATTTGTAGGACTATTTATATTTTCTTGCATGGTTGAAAATGTTTCATATCTTGTATTTTGAGGTGATACTGTGAAACATAAATAAAAAACAAAACGGTTTTAATTAGGTCAACTAAAATATGCGTCACATCCTGCTACGGTCCCGCGCCAGCGCCTTTTCCTGCAGGCGAATAACCTGACCCCGGCTCGATGAGCGAACTATGGATAATCAAAGAAAAGTACCGGAGGAACACAGGATTTAATTCTGCGTGGACAGAGTTATATGCTTTCACAGCAAACGATGCTGGTTTACCGGTATGTTTGATATGTAGAGAGAAGTTGTCAAAGGTGCTGCAGCCTTTACATATCGAGGAACAACAAGGGAGAGGAAGACAGCTGACGATCTTCGGTCATAATTCAATGGGGTATGTCATTTATTTCAGAAAACACTTTTTGTTATATTCCATGGAATGCTCTTAACGTCCCGATAGCAATGAATATATTGAATGCTTTGACAATAAATACATACAAAAATTAATCTGTGGAAGCCGGAGCGCTGTAAAAAGCACGACCAATCATCTGAGCCGGCCCGGCTAAAATAACTGGATGGCCTACCTGCCTGTCAGCCTACCATCTGTGCACAAACGTATCGCGTGCCCTCATTGGTCATGTGCGCGTTCGTGTGTGTTGGAGGTATGGAAAGCCTCAAGTGCCACTATTCGCCCGTTAAAACGCGCGTTTTTTACAAAAAACGCGCGTTTTAAACGGGCGAATAGTGGCACTTGAGGCTTTCCATAGTTGTAGGCTTGTTTGAGACGCGTTGCGGCTCGCCTCGAAAGTAGACGAGAATAGCCGATCGCAGCCGGGGGAGGTCTCAAAAAGCTCGCCTGAAGTCGGACAGCTCCGACAGCTCCGAGTCGGCTTCTTCATCTTCTTCTTCGCCTTCTTCTTCTCTCGGTTTTTTGGCGGATTGCAAACAACTTTAAGGTGCATACCGCCACCTCCGGAGTCGGCTTGACTCGGTTTGCATTTATAAAGAATGCACACATGTGTTTAACATGTGTGCATTCTTTATAAATGCAAAGCGAGTCAAGCCAGATATGAAGTTTCATCTTGACTTTTTTTGGTATTATTCTATTTATATATGTCTCTTGTAATGGTAAAATCAATTTGTTAAATCATAAACATATTTTAAATAACAGTAATTTTGCACAGAAGGTGTGTCCCTCAACATGCGTTCAACCCATAGACTGTATATATAAATGGACGTAGGGTCCGTGACGTCACCCATAGGATTCTGCAGAGTTGCCGTGAAGCCCTTAGTAGGCGGAGTCGGCCACTAACGGCTCGACAGTGACGTTAGAGTTCAACTCCCGCCTTCTCCAAATAAGGGCAAAGAGGCGGAGCCGAGGTGGGACCTGCTGCCACCGAGCTGAAAGTTCCAGAGCTAGCTGAAGCTACCAAGCTAAGCTAACATTTACGTTTCTAAGGTAAGCGGACATGAAACTATAAATAATAATCTAAGTTATTGAGTTTTTAGCATAATACTTCAGAATCTTAAAACCCCTTAACGTTTGTATGCAATTGTGCTAAATTCAACACTGGAATCAAGCAAATATTAATATGTTTGCATGACATTAGTTATTTATATTTTGATATCACTTAACTATACGTTTAATACATTTAAGTCAAGCTAAGGTACATGTGATGGTAGCTAGTTAGCGCTCTTACCTGTGAGGCCTCCTCCAAACAGCATAATAAACAGACTATATCATTAAAACTAAGTACCAGTTCTAGATCATTGACTTTAGACAAACAATTCAAAAGACAAAATGTATTTAAGACCAATCTTTATTTGAATGTGCCTCTTAACCTGAGATATTAGTTATACAGTAATAGTATTGACAATCTAAAAAAACTGAGCAACTCACCAGTCAACTTTATGTTTCTTATTGTCTAAAGCATTTATTATTTTCATTTTCCCAATCTCATATTCAGTGTGGACGGATTGAGACAGTCTGATGTCCAGAGAGCTGCAGAGACTTCAGGGAGAAACCTCCGTGTGATGGACGTCCTGTCTGTTGGTTTGGAGAGGACTGAGAGTCTTTCCTCAGCGAGGAGGACTGAGGGTCTTTCCTCTGCGAGGAGGACCAGGGCTGATGGAGGAGCCCATGCTGGGCAAAGCTGATACCAACTGCACAGGCCTAGTCTGTCACTTTATTTGACTAAATGTGTTTACTTATACATTTAATAGGTTTACACCTTCTGTCCATATGTGCTTTTGGTTCACATTTCAATAAATTGTATTTTTATTTGCACTCCTTTTGTCCATTATTCTTACTGAAAATGTTAGATTACACATTCACATCTGACTGAAGATTGGCCCCAGATTATGAATGAACAGTATGAAGTTCATCAACATTGAAATATATGTTATTATCAAAATAATATTTAACTGTTATCAAAACGTAGTGCAACTGTAGAAGCTTGCTCTGTTGTCTCACTGAAAGAATAACTTTTACCACGTTTTTTACAGACAATATTGAGAGATAAATAGTAGCAGTTCTCACTATGTGTTAAATATCTTTGCCTTCAATACATTAAATTAGAAAGCTGACAAAGTCATATTGCTTGTTATCATCTAAATGTAACTTTTTGCATGGAAAAACCCCTCAACTTAACTGATGTGTAGGTGATCTAGTATTTAGTATTGTTTAATGGAATGTATATCAGTGTATTCAAGTCAATACTTCATTCATTTAAACCAATATCTTTCTTGATTCTTTGTACAGTATGAAAAAAGAGTCTTTGTACCTGTGCTGAAGTTCACTGCTGTGAGGAGTCCAGTTCTGTCTCTCACTCTCTGGTCCAGCCTGTCTGCATCACCTGGACACCTTAAACAAACAGAGATATATATATATATATATATATATATATATATATATATGTATATGTAAAGTACCATGTGTACAAACAATATAACTGATTCTCTTCTGTTGAACATGTTGGATTGTGTATTGTCCGAGTCAGGGTCCTTTTTATTTTACTGTAACTTTGGAAGTTGTGTTACCAATGCTTACTGTTTATTTGATACCCATTTGGTAATGCAATTAATACAAACTTCAAGGTTTGGGTTCGTTCTTCAGATGACTGTGACGTTAACGTGTAAGCTCGATAATGAACTCCAGCTCAACCAACCATATTGTAATATCTAAGTAATCATCTTGAAATATGACATTAATAATTGTAATATACACACATCTTATTGTGAGGTTGATTTCACATACACTACTTCGACATTAGCTTGTCTACATACTTGAGCATAGCCAATTTAAATTAACCTTAGATGCATACAGTTCTACCTATATAATAAAATATCTCTAAGTTACAAGGATGACCTTATTTTATCAACCTCAAACAGAAGCCGTTTGTTCAACAGTATTATCCCACTTAACACTTGTCTATTTAGTTTTAACCTTTATACATACAGTCTATGATTTTAACTTGGAGGCTACGATTACAATCGTTAGCACCGATGTAGCTACCACTAGCCACTAACTAACCCAAGCCTTACCATTCATTACGTAGCCGATTAAAATCATTAACACATAAATAAAGCACTCGAATTTCACTTACCGCATTCATGCACCGTCTGTTTTAACCGCAGAGTGAGTCACAATAGTCCGATATATAAGCATGAAGAACAAACAACCACGGCCGGCTACAAGTTGTGTTTGCTGGATGAGCTGAGCAGGCAGAGTCCCTGTAGCTAGCTTCACGGAGCAGCTAGCAGAGAGACAAAAAGCTAACAGCGGCAGGCACTTGACAAAGCCGTCACTCAATGTGACCACGCCCTAATCTATGCACAAACTTTAAGACCTAATATAAATAAAAGGGTCGCGTTAGAAAACAATTCACTCACAGATCCATAATTATGAAGGTGGAATCTAACTATATCACTAATAAAATGTATGGAGCCAGGGGTAGAAACATGTTTTTTTCTGCTGTAAAGTTGGGCATTTTAACATGGGGTCTATGGAAATTGCTCCTTTCTGCAGCCATCGCCTATCGGCCAATATATGAACTGCAGTGTGTGCCACTTCCGTATTGGCTTCCCGGCTCTACCCCACAGTTTGCCGCTTG